TGTGTGTGTGTGTGTGTGTGTGTGTGTGTGTGTGTGTGTGTGTGTGTACGTGCGTGCGTGCGTGCGTGCGTGCGTGCGTGCGTGGAGAAATATTTCAAAATTTACATATATAAAGAATTTAAAAAGAAAAGAAAAAAAAGAGCTTTTCTCAGCATTTCTGAAAAGTAAGCTTCAATTCGTATAAAAAATCTGAAAAATTTTCTAGAAAATTATAAACATGTATAGAAATTGTAAAAAATTATATGAAAAATTCGAAGTAGATTTTCGTCAAAGAAACAAATCCGTAACTCCTCACACGAGTATCTCGCGATTTCACCACGCACCTCACGTTTTTATCGATTAACTTGCATCTCTCGGACTTGATGAAATATGGAAGTACGTCCTTATAGCTCCAACCGGGATTTCCGAGCGCTTCCCAGCCGTCGTAATCGACCGGTGTGCCTCTTGAATAGATCATGAAGTTCATCACCGAGGTGCCACCGACCGCCCTACCGGTCACCAATTTGCAACGGCCGTCGACCATCGAGAGGCAGTACCCACCGCGACCGTGTGCGTCCTGCGGCCGCGGCTTGCCCTTGTACACGCGGGCGTAATCTGTGACGTGGAGGATCGGCGCCAAAAAAGGGATATCCGTGAAGAAGATCTCGTCCTTGCCCTGCTCGAGCAGCAGGACGTTCCAATCGGGATTCTCCGTCAGACGATTTGCGAGCACGGACCCTCCCGAGCCGGCGCCAATCACAAGAAAATCGAAAGATAAATAACGCCGCCCGGGCACCGCATCCTCGTCCCGCACCAAATTGTTCGGCGGTGGAAATCCCGCGAAGAAGTGGTGTACCGTTTCGAGAATGGCCGGCGGCAGGATCCCTGCACCGACGTGCCCCAGGAACAAGATCATCAGGCAGGACTTTAGCATCGTGGATCTTATCTTATCGCGCGAGAAATAAATCTTCTTTTTTCGGATATATATCACAGTGTCTAGTTCTCTCTAACACATTATTTGCATTCTATTAATTTCTTGCATAACGGCTTGCTAATTTTTGCTCTGTAGAAAGCTAGGACCTTGACATTAATTTGAGTCGAATCAAAATAAGCCTCATCTATGAAATGATTACATCAGTTCTTCTTCTGATCTTGATTTGACCTGAAAAAATTACCTCGATTATTACCTCGAGGTAATCTTTTAAGTAAATGCGTGATGACTTTTTCGATAATCACTTTCGGATCAATAGAATTTATCGTAATTTATTTTATCAACTTACTACAAGACACTACACACTTGATCGTCGCGATATGTAATGCGATCTTTCTAATTTCGTTGCATCGTAAGACTTTTTATTTTCACAGGTGTATAAGACAGTTTCGATATATGATAATTAGTTGCGATATCTATATGCAGCAAATTATTATCCTCAATCACAATTTACATCATATATCTTCGATCATAAATCTTTGTGATTAATTAACACACTAAACAGAAGTCAATTATTCGTGACGTCCTATATGGCACTTAATCGCATCTTGTTCTCCGTAATGCGACGTTAACAATCAACTGCGGTGTGTCTCTTAACGTTGCATCGGAAAAAGTCATAGATCTGCATAGCATCAGGGTCGTCTACGTCAGCATTCAAATAAGTCCTTTTTACGAATCTTACGGTCAGGGCAGCACGACGCGAGTCATACGAAATAAGGTTGCGAGAAACGAATGTTAATCAGCAGTTTTAAATCTTGACACAATATATGGTGCTCACGAACGATCGCGCATTTTCCTGCATTCCGAACTCCGCGTCTCGACATTTGAGAACATGCGACAGGTTCATAGTTCGGCCGCACCGAACTCTCATAACGGTTCGAAATCGATAATGCGACCGACTTATCGTCGGTCATTTAATTCAATTATGATTTCACTCTTACCGAGACGCAATCTCCGAAGGCTTTCGAGTAGTTGTAACGTGTTGGCAGAATTTTTTCCACGTGCGTGTTTTTCATAAGTTCCACGTACGTACACCCTGACAATGGCCGGTATTTACAGTCGGATCTTATATTTAAGACCGTCTTAAGTACAATCTTAAAATGTTATATAAACCAATCACAGAGCCGTGTATTAGCATATCTTAAGATATTAATTAAGACGATCTTGAAATAAGAATTAATGGATTATGTATATTGGCTAATAAGTATACTTTTTAAGTTTTTTTCATTATGCAAATCTCTGGTATATTTCTTATTACACTCACAATTACGCGATCGCATGTTCTTCTGATTTAACAAGTAAGAAATGTTTACGATACATGTGTAAACGTGGTTTCGCTTGGCGCAGTTTTTCCAAAAGCACGAATTAGCACTTTAATAGAAAATTATAATATTAACGGGTGATTGAAAGAATCGTGTTTATCCCGCGAAAGTCGTTTGAATACTGAAATCGAATTGAATCTTCGGCGGTCATCTGCATTAAAATTGGGTGAAAGAAAAAAAAATCCGCAAGGCCGACCACTTTTGACATTCTTGTAGAAACATCGTATGCCGCTGCAATTACGACGATGACCAAACTTCTTGCCAAAGAATTCTCGTTAACGTTTTTCCTTTGCGTTGCCAATCATTGTAATTTATAGAAACATGTATTTGCAATACTTATGATTGATGTAAAGTTTGAATGTTAAAACGTTAAAGCTAGTTACTTTGTAGTGTATCAATTAAAATATCAATAAAATTATTGATGAATTTTTTATACAATTGCAATTTATAACTTTGGGCATATTCATAGTTTTTATTCAAGTTTATATTATATTTTAAAAATTCTAATTTTATTTTACTTTTGCGTTTATTTCCGTTATTTTTTTAAATCTTGCGAATAAAATAAAAGTACTTTAATGCAAAAAAAGAAAGTGTCAAATAAATTTAAATTATAACAATGCTTATAGAATATGTAGAAAAGAAATTTATGAAATAAAAGAAATGTGTGTATAGAACATAAATTATGACACAATAACATTTCCAAGTTGAACTCCAATTTATATTCACGACAACTAATGCTTGAATCTCTTTATAGTGTTTAGATGGGAAAAAAAATTTCGATGGCGATTTAGGTGAATCATATATTGATCAAGGTGTGGCATCCGATTAAACGAGGCGAAAATACCGAAGGCGCACAATATAAAATCTTAAAGAAACCAGTCTCGTGTGACCCACATAAGCAATTACGAAATGTGCATGCTCCATCCATGAGGCATCTGTATTTGCACCTCAGCTGCGCGAAGAAGATAACAAAGTTACGCAACGCGTGTTCAGAGATTACGTTCAATACTCTATATGTAAATGTAACATTAAAACCAAAATGGAATTTCGGCAAGTTCAAGTTTTTCCGTGAATACGACTCTAGTTGCCACGAAGAAGAAGAAAGAAAAAAAAACACAAGATTAATTTTTGTAGAACATCAGCTCTCACACACATTAAATAATAATAATAATCTTTGACACTTTTGTAACTCTCGAATCTTTAAACTTAAATTTTTAGAAACTTTTTTAAAATTATAATTTTTGACATTTTTATTAACGATACTTCTTACTTGATTCCATTCTTCTTAATATATCGATTTTTGAGAATTTAAATTTTTGTCGGCAATTGATATCGATAATTACAATACAAAATGCTAATAAATTACACGTCAATTAATTACGGTAGGTAAAATATTGTATAAAAATATATCAAGATTGACTAAAAATTAATTGATATTTTGTAACTACTGGTATACCAATTACCTATAAAATTTTTTAATTATTACATTCGCGAAGTATAAAGTATTAAAAAATATATAATCAGTAAGTGATGACTAAAGTTTCAAGAATTAAATTTCAAAAATTTCAAGAATTACAATTGTAAGATTAAAATTTCGAAGAATAAAAGATGAAGTATTAGGAAGATATAATCAGTAGATAAAAGATGACTAATAAGAGAGAGCTATCTGAAATTTCAAGAATTGTAATTCCGAGAATTTCTAGAATTTTAAGTCTTCAAATTTCGAGTAGCAAAATTTTTAACTCTCAAAAATAGAGGAATTATCAGACAAGAATAAATCAGGTAAAAAGTGACACAAATGACAACTCGATCATCAGAGAACATTGCAAGCAGAAACTTTATTTATTGCAAATTTTTTTTCTATACTTATATCAACATATGATGAGTAACACTGTACCAACACAATATTTATAAACATATTTAGATGAAGGAACTAAACTAAATATTTAGATATATTATATTCGCATGTACATTATGTACATTAGTCTCGCGAATATAATATATCTAAATATTTAGTTTAGTTTCTTCGTCTAAATATGTTTATAAATATTTAGAAATATATAAATATAATGCATAAAACGTCAATGTACCAAACATGTCCAAATTGGCGTGTTTTTATCACGGTCGTGAATACAGGTCCGGAAACTCGTCCGTTTTTTTGGTGGTGGGGGTGACTCGCTTAATGACGATATTTTCATAGGTTTGCCATGTGACCGCGCGCGTCGCTGCGTTGCAAGGATTTTTTATCACGCATACGCGTTGTCCACTAATCCGTTTCACCGTAAAGGCTCCCGCACAATGAAAAATATAAGAAACAAGGAACAGATATTAGCGATTAAAAATAAGAAATCAGGAATAATATTAATTGCTAATATCTGTCCCTTGTTCCTTATATTTTTCATTGCGGAGGCCTTAACCAAAATACAATATTTTTATAATAAATGTAAGATAGAAAATATAGTATATGCTTAAAGCAGCGAGTTTTGTAAATAAGTTGGCTCAATCAACGTTTTAAATGTGGATAAAATAATAATAAAATTATAATTAATTTTTATTTACAAATTGGTAATTAGTAAACATAAATTTTTTATTATTAAAATAATTAATAGTTTGTTGAAATAAATTACTAGAAATTACTAGAAAATTAATAATTAGTGGAAAATAATTACTAATTTTCTCAATAATGAATTTAGTCTCAGGTAAATTAGTAATTATTAAAAAATTATTTAATTTAAAAATTATCTGGTGCAACATAAATAACTTAATTACTGAAAAATGAAAATTTTTTTGCCGATCCCTGGATATATTATTAAAGTTTCTTTTAATGTGACAGAATATTTTTTTTATAACTGAGCTTACCTCGGCTAGGACATTTGCTTGTACATCGCGCATTACGAAATTCCTTATTATGCATTTTTTATCAAAATGCTTTTCACATACAAATTAATTGGGTTTCAGGTCCTTTATGCCAGGGATTGCGGATATCCATTTTTTACGCAATTCGTCACGTTTTGGCACTTTAAAAACTGAACAATTTACTTTCAGACTTTTGCACCCAGTCTTGCAATTCGGCACGACACAATATTTCGTTAATTTCATTGTTGTTAATTTAATCACTTTCTAGGACTTCGTACGTTCGTTACATTCAATATGTCAATATGTAATATGTTATATATGACATATGTCATATGTCATATGTCACATGTTATATGTTATATGTCAATATATTCAATATGTATTTGCGTTATTTAAAAAATCTCTAACCTCCAGCGCTTCAGGTGGTGATAGTGTCAACTACATAAAATGACTTCACTAAGCGAGTCACCCCCCACTACTAGAGTTTCCGGACCTGTATTCACGACCGTGGTTTTTATATACTGAGCGATTTGTGATGTTTTGTATATTGTAAATAGTTTATTTAATTTCTTGACGCGCTACTTTTGTAGACGACGCGACGTTCAAATGTTCAATTCGAGAACATGAGATATCGACTCGCGAGAGTCGCGAGCATTGTCATCTCGAAATATCTCGAGCGAGATTGATATTCCGAGTTGGCAATGTTGGCACACACGGACAAGTGCAGACAAGTGTCAAATTGTGTGCCAAGTGCCAAATGCACATAAATTAAAGGAGGATGGACTTCGAGAGTCCTGACGTTGAGAAGGAATTTCCCGGATTGTACGCGTCCGAATCGGCGAGGAAAAGTAATGAGAGCGATTGTACGTAATGCTATCGTTACGTTATATTTGCGTTTCAAAACATGAGGAGATATCGCGTGTAGGTGCATGTGTGTGCGTGTGCGGGAAAGAGAGAGAGAGAGAGAGGTTATGTCATCTGTCAAAATCTAATCGCAGATGTTACATATTTACGCTTCTCGCTGTCATTTCACTGATAGAGATATTTATGATGATTTTTGTACTACAGTTAGTGACGAAGGCAGTCACGACAAGCATTCCAAGAAGGAGCTTCTCGGTGGAAAGCGTAAGGACAAAAAGGACAGGAAGGACAGGGGTTACGCGACCCTAGAGGGTGAGAGCTCGCCAGACGAAGATCAGGAGACAAAGTAATATTCCTGTTGAAACATATGCGATTTTCGTCTCTTTTACATGATATTATTTGACACCTCTCGAATAACATACAAGTGCTAATGTAACGCACGATTAACGGATCCTTTCGTCTGATATTTATCAGAGGCATACGAATGAGGCTGTGCTGTTAACTAATGCTCGATAATTAGAATTAATGTCCACCGTTCACCGTCATTCGTCCACCATTGTTCCATATTTCTCATTTGTACTGCATTAGCTTTTTCTTGCTAATAAAATATAAACTATATAAGAGTTTGATTTCTGATTTGTAAATGGAAAGCAGACTTGTTTCAAATATTTATGACTTGATACTGTTGTTTATACTAATTTTTATTTGCTCAGTAAACATTTACTTTATCATGAGAATCTTTATTATATATGTGCAAAGTAAGAATTAATTGATCGCAAATCGCTCTTAAGGTGATTTTTTCAATGTCTTATATGTGACTTATATAATACTGAGACTAACATGTCGATTATTATACAGAAGTCCTTCAAAATCAAAAAAGACCAAAGCCTTTAAATTCCCATCTAAAAAGGAGAAACGGGAGAAATCGAGGGAGAAGGAGGCGAAAGAAAAGGACGCTGAGAAGGAAAAGGACAAAAAGAAGAAAGAAAAGGATGAGAAGGATATAGATAAGGAAAAGCGGAAGGACAAGGATAAAGACAAAGCCAAGCAGAAATTAAAGGATCGGAAGAAAGGAAAGCATGAAGGATTGGATATTGGCGGTAAGATCGTAATTCGTACAAATACAATTAATACATCTTGACTTATTCAACACTTCTTGGATATGTACATATTCTATCCTTCAGAGGAACAACCGATTTTCGGTGTTAGTCTTCACCTGGCAGTCGAAAGAAGTTGTTGTCATGACGGAGTTAAATTACCCTTGGTAGTGCGAGATTGTATAGATTACGTGGAAGAGCATGGGATGAATGTAGAGGGCCTGTACAAAGTCCCCGGAGTGAAGTCAAAAATTCAGCACTTGAAAAAATTATACAATAATCGGGAGCCGGTGAATATATCCGAGTTCGAACCCACGGTAGCTACGAGCTTATTGATACTCTTTCTTAGGTTTGTATACCTGCGAATTCTATCCTCTTTCTCACCATGTGTTTTAAGATCAAACGAAAAAGTGCGCATTGTGGTGATGTAGAGAGCTGCCAGAATCCGTGTTGGAGAACAGCGAAACGATATCGCGCTTCGAGCAGGCCGCATCGACCAAGGACGTCGCGCAGCGCGAAGCTCAATTGGCCCAGTTGACGCAGCAGTTACCGGAATGCAACAGGATTCTTCTGGCATGGGTTACGTTACATTTGGACAATGTTACGGCGCGTGTACGTTCAAAATGTTACTAATTTGATACAAAAGTCAGATGAAGACCTTTAAAATACTTAGATCTTTTTAGAGATAGATCATAGATCTAGAGATAAAGATTTTTAAATCTAAATTTTGAATTCCTTTCTAATTTTATTAAAAATAAAAATTGATTGTAGAACGGCACCAATTTTTTACATTATTTGATACATTATTTTCTTAAAACAATTTTCCAATTAATATTCCAATTGATTTTCAATGAATTTTACCCTAGGAGAAAACAACAAAAATGAACGCACAAACGGTCTCGATGACGTTAAGCCCGGTTCTGCAAATGAGTCACAGATTGCTATTGGCCCTATTATTCCACTGCAAGGCTTTGTTCCCAAATATACAATTGACAAAATATGTGCCACCGTTATCATCCGGTAGTACCAATCTGCCAGATTCCGTGGAGGGTATAGCCGCGGAACTATCCAAGCAAGAATCGTTGCTTTCTCAAATTCACATGCAGATGAATGCCGGTTTTGTAACAAAATCTCGGGAGGAACAATTGTGGGAAGTACAACGAATGATAACGCAATTAAAGGTACAAAAATGTTTGGAAAATGTATATATAAAGAGCATTAACATAATAAATTACGTTTTACAGAGAAAATGTAAAACTGTTCAAAAACTGGAAGGTGCTACGCAAAAGAGTCTAGATGAAGAAATAAAGTTAACCGATAATATTCCCATAGAATCTGTCTCACAGAAGTCAAAGTCTGATGAAGATTCCGGGCAAATAATCCCTTGTGATGCTCAACCGTTAACCAATCCGACATTGATAAAAAAAGACAGCAAACTGTATAATGCAGAAGAGGCGAAAGAGAAATGTTCTTGCTCGACGGGTATCAACGCAAACGCTACGCAAAATGAACAAAGTGTAAATGCGCAAGAGAAAGACACGGTTGATTTCGCGGTTGAGATTGCAACGGTTACACCGCAAGAGCCTGAGAGTGTAACACCGAATGACAAAACAAACAGTACATAATAATTAATAGTATATTTCTAATATTTTCTCTAAATATATCGTATAATATATCGTTAATTTATATGTAGAGCCTGACGAGGAAGATGTCATAGATAAGTTGCGAGAGAGGCTGATCCACGAGGAACTGTTGAACATGCAAGCGTTACTGAAATCTCGCATCAATCAAGAGAGGAATGAGATCAGACGATTGATGGAAATGCTAATGGAGTGCAGCACGAAAGAAGAAAAGAAGAAACCTAAAGAGAGGACGCACTCTCCCAACGAAGCTGAAATGACGGCCATGATACAGCTAGTCAAAGAGAATCAATTACTCGAGGTACGTTCTTTCATGCCAGCTTTCTTTTTCTACTTCTGTACACTTATTTTTCTTTCGTTGCAGAAGAAGATGACGACGTTGATACGTAGTATTATCGAGGAGAAAGACGCTTGTGTGGAACTACGTGTACAACTGGCGGTGCATCAATTAATGGCCAAAACTTGACCACAAATCTCCTAGCGATCGCATCGGAATCACAATATCTCTACATTATAAAGATATGATCTGACATTACGTTTTTGCACATAATGACCATATATAGTTTATAACATGTTACAATTATCACATGTACCATTAACTCGTTCGATCCTTCCGTGAAATAATAAAATATACAAAATGCAACTAGAACTTTTATAATTTGCATTTTTATAATTCGAGTTCTTAATTGAATACCTAGCGTATACGTAAGGATGGAGGAAATAGCAGCATCTTTCAAATATTCAGACAAGGTAAACATAAGAAATTTTTTTCTTTATAATAAAAAAAGTAATATAATAAAATTCTATTTGTATATAATATTTCATATGTTAACACGTCAGCAAAATATTAACATATTATTATCATATATTAATTACGCTGATAACATTTTAGATTAGGTCAGTGAATTAAACATTAAACCGATACAGTCTAGAACGCACTTTATATATCTTGAATAGCAGCGTTACTGTCATTTGGCATAAAAGATGAGTCACACCGAAGAGAACAAAAAAAAGGAAACCAAAAAAAGCAAGCGTGTTAAGCAAGCAGGAACCAGTCAGAGTAAGTGGAAAGAGTATCGCTTGAGACTAAAACTGAAGAAAATATATAGAGATATTAGGTTGGGGAAAAAGTAATCCATTATTTTTTCGTTTATTTCAAGGCTTTATTTAACATAGTTAGGATTGTTCGATTTGGGTCAATATGCACCGTTTTGTTCTACAATTTGTTGCCATTTCAAAGGTAATTTCATGATGCCTCTCTCATAGAAGCCCTGGTCCCTACTTGTGCGAGGTGCATCTTTATTAACATCGAAATTACCGGAACGGAATCGACGAAACCAAAATTGCGCGCGATTGGCTGTGACAGTATCGAGACCACCATTCACAATTTCAGCCGCCTGGCTTGCATTTTCGCCTTTATCGAAGCAAAATTGTAAAATATACCGAATTTTCTCTTTGTTGGTGCTATTCCGAACGCAGCCTTAGTTAACTAAAATCTATAGTTTACGTCACGTACACTATAGCATTTTAGTTAACTAAAGGCTGCGTTCGGAATAGCACCGTTGACGTCCATCTTTTACGCGCTATAACTCACAACTGAATTGACCAATCACAAAACAGTTATAGAATAACCTATACGATTAATATATCACGTGATATATATCACTAGAACCATCTAGCGAAAAAATAAACGAAACATGATATCTATTGTATAGGGTGTCCCAAGTTTTTCCAGACAAATTTTAGTAGTAAGTTCTATGAGCAGAAATAAGAAAAAAATGTTATATAAACATAGGTCCTAGAATGCTTTATTAGAAAGTTATATCAAAAATATGAAATACATATGTAAGAAACAATTTAAGCCAATATAAGCTATACATCCATCTAACTGTATCCATATGTGTTGGCGAAATCCGCGAAATAGTAAAGGTACATCTTCGAGAGCAATCGCTAAATTGTTGCTGAGAAAGTTCACAAAAGAATGTGCACTTAAATGTTTTGGCAAGAAATGGAGGCCAATGAACATGTCGTACATGCCCATCCATACATTACAGTTGAATTGACGTTAAAAAGCTGTTTGATCATACGAACAGCGTATGGTTTTCGTATGATCATGTAGTTATTACGTATACGTATAACTATGTAGTTATTACGAAAATTGAAAACACCGCCTCTCGTAAATGTAGTCTCGTCAGTCTATATAGTATTCTCAATGGGAAAAGGTCATCTTCTTGTACTTATTGCACGTACTATTCAAAAAATTGTGTTCGCTTTTCGTGATTAGTTGGCAAAAATTCTTGTACTGGTGTGAAATGATACGGGTACCTGTTATCAGCTCGCAATGTTCTCTAAACAGTCTAAACCATATATCGGGATAGCTGTAGCTATGACGCTCGCGCATTAATAAATGATCCACTTGCGGTAGGATCATTATTAAGGCTCAGTCACAATGAGAGGAATAAGGAATACGATAAAGGAATTAGGAATAAGGCATATTGCATCTCACTTTAATGTATGTGTACTGAAGTGAGATGCGACATTCCCTTATTCCTTATTCCTTTATCTTATTCCTTATTCCTCTCATTGTGACTGAGCCCTTAAACATCATCTAATGGCGAATCACTTATGTACGATGTGTCACTTCTTCAACACAAAATTCTAACTTTTGCTATAACTATCTAATAAAGCATGTTTATATAAAATTTTTTTCCTTATTTCTGCTCATAGAACATTAATCTATTAAGGTTTGTCCGGAAAAATTTGGGACACCCTGTATACACTCTCTATCATACATATCTTCTGTGAATTATATTTTACTTATAAACTTGCATATCACACATTATGTATCAATATAGACTCTTATTAAGACTTAGTAAGCGCTGCAGATAGATCAATGAAAAAGAGGTAACTCAAGATTGAGGGAACAATTTATCGTGTTCAATGTATATTTACAATATTATCTGGTAAAGGTACAGCGCTGAATATCGACCCGTATAGGTTTGCGTAATCTTGGTAGAATGCTGCTTTGTGTATTTTATACGTAGGAAAAATTTGTACACCCGATATAGTTTTTCTCTTCGTCTTTTTCTATCATAGGTTCTTTTATATGCATCTGTATAAAAATCTAATGAACGTCCTCCGCGTATAATAGAAGGACGCACGCAGAAACTGAGATTGTGCTGAGGACGTTGATACAGATTCTCGCATTTATCAGTGGAAAAAGATCACGTATGGTAGCCTTGAAGAATATGAATAAGCTCTTGCAGGCTCTACAGTCACAACGTAACGCAACGCAACGCAACGCTGCTGGGTATTCTCTCCATATATCATATTGTATATTGTTATTTGACAATAAGTCATTGTAATTCAGAAAAGCGGCTTGAAACGTTTTATTGGGCATAGATTGAGACGATTATTACCAGCTCGAGATCTCATAATCCGATTATTGCAATGTGGAAAAAAACGTATTTTTACAGGTACATCTTATATTCAATGCGATACTTTTTCTTTCATTTTTCTTCTTTCATTCGCCGAGAACGAGATCGAGCGACAGATAATACAATAATGTACTCTTACGGCGTCACTATCACAGTGTAATACAACAACTCACTAAGAACAATAGCATACACGGTACCCGCGAGCAGTGAGGGTAGTTTCATTACCAGAATCATGAAACTGAAAGTATCAGTTTCGTCTAATAATCTGCAATTATAGAAAATATTATGTGTGTAACTTTATCTCACACAGTCATTACAAAGAGACAGCTGAATTGGATTTTGGCATTCTAATATAATTTGATTGTTTTTACTAATTGTAGAGCACCGAAAAAACTTTACATGAAATATCTCGGGGTTGCGGCATTTAAAAAGCTTCTACTGTACCTCTGTTCCAAAGAAGATTACCGTTAAAAAAGCACTGGTATAAATTATAACACGAGTACTGAATTCAAAAAGAATATTATTGCCTGTTTGCAGATGGACGTAGATTTTTACGAAGCCTATAAAGTAATTTACAAAATGTTATAAAAGATGGAATATATATATACATATATAAAAAAATAAAGGAATGTTTCCTCTCTTTTCTTCTCTTTCTCTCCTATGGCCAATAAATTTTGCAACGATATATTTACAACAAAAGAGAATGGTTAAAGATGTTTCGATACAAGATCGATATCTTATCCTGTTTATTTTGCAATTGTTTGATTTCTCAATCATCTTAGTTATTTATCTTGTTATAAAATATATCAAGTATTTGATTTTTATTTATATCCCTAGATGAGAATTCGAATATTTGATAGTTATAACTCAAGAAATATCAATTAATGTAGAAGTTTGTGATGTAGGATATTATAGAGACAATGCTGTTAGACAGACGATTGCTCAAAATGCGATAATTTGCTTTATATATAATCATTTTTAAAGTTATTATATTGTAAAATTAACGAATGTTACATAACGTCTCGTAATGTCTATTTCGTTTTTATCTATCTTCCTTCTCTGAAGTAATGTCGATAATAACGTAATATAATAATAACTATATATTCTTAAGTGAATCTTTGTATGATAAATTTAATGATCCTCATTTACATCATTCACATTATTCGTAACTCACTGGATAATATAGCTTCATAGCAGCTCTTTTATTCGAATAAATTTTAAGTAATGAGTGTATCGCGATTTTCGCCCTTGCTCTCGTTTCTCTCTCTCTCTCTCTTCTAAAATATAAGAATCTGTAACGTTGCAAATGGCTTTTTTTAAGCTGCATATTTGTGTGTACAACATTCTTAAAATGGAGGTTCGTGATTTGTTGTAAATAAGATCAAACAGAATGTGTCAGAAAATAGTAAATAGAAATAATGTTATTGGCTTCCTATTCTAAATGTATACATAGTGTCGAAATAGTTATTTGTGTAACAAGTGTCGTAAGATGAAAATTCCCGGGTGCGGAGTTTACGCAGTTTATGCGGAGTTTATGCGGTAACCGCACCCGGGAATTTTCATCTTTACACACGACTTACACTCCCTATTTTATGTTGCAAGTGCCTGGAAAGTGGTCTATCACGCACGCGTAGCGTGCGTAATGGGGCACTTTCCATGCACGTGTTGCATAAACTTCATTAACAAAATGATACATACAAAGACCTCGATATTTGTGAACACCGTTAGATTTTTTAAACACTATCTAATTTGTTAAAAAAACTATTAAAATATTTTAGATAAACTTCATGTAATTTTTCCCCCAAAATTATAAAAATTAAGAAAGGATTTTAAATTGAAATAAAACACTATGTCGTTTGTAAAAGATGCTAAAAGACTTACCTATTTATATGAGAAAAATCAACAATACTTGAGACAGTAATTTATGAGAAAAAATAACTCAGGAACATGTCTTTATGCTTGTCTATATTATTTTAGATACGAAAAGCAACGAAATTAACCATGATATAGAAGATATTACCTATCTTTATTAACCCTTCGTCATCCATGACTTTGTCCATGGATGACGGAAGGTTAAGATGACTTTTAGAAACAAATTATACGGCAAAAAAAATATATAAAATATATGTTAATATAAATCTAAAATAAAAAAAATTACTATTGGATTTTTAGCTATTTATAATTTCCATAAAAATCGTAAAAATAACGATATATTAAGTAAAAAATATGAGAATGGTTTGTTTCAAGAAATTCGAATAATATATTTGTTGTACGGTTATAAAATGTCATATAATAATTGTCAATTCTTGATATTGATATATGTGCATAAGATTGTTTAAATCTGATTGTTCGACGGGGCTAACAAAGTTCGAGTATAAAGGTAATAAAAAAAAGAAAAGAAAAAAATTTCGATCACGTGGGCGTGCGTGCGTGTGGTGTGCGCGCGCGCATGTGTTGGGGGGGAAAAGTATTAAAATTATTAATGCCTAAAAATCTCTCATAAGGACCATATAAAAAAAAAAAAAAAATAAAATACAAATTTTCTTTTCTTTTAATGTTATTGCGTTAAAATAAAAATTAATGTAACTAATTGAGTAGCTAAAAAGATAGAATAGGAAGCCAAGTTGTAATGTTGATGTAAAACGATAATATTTATTATCTTTATACTCATCTAAAGCCAAAAATTTAATTTCACCATTAATTTAGAGTTTCACTCGCACACACATTCAAGCATTTGGCAGGCAAGAACCTAGAAGAATCTAATTCAGAGAGAGCAGTATCACTACGAAGTCATCATATCATTGACTGAATTTGATATATTAGGTCCTTTTAGGGCGTCATTTATGTCTCTTCTAAACATTGATAAATTTTGTGTAAACCTGCAAAAAAAAAAAAAAAAACAAATACGTCATAATGTTTAAGAATGCTTAGAATATATAGTCAGATACACATATGTGACCTCTTCTTTCTTACCTATCTCTATTTTTTGTGAGTAAATTTCTTTCAATCCCGTTCATTAAATTTTCAAACCATTGGGCCATCGCTCCTTGCTTGTCAACTGGTTGACTTCTAATAATATTTTCCCTTAATTGATTAAAATACTGCAAAATAAATAGAACATGTAGTTTTATTTTCAAATAAATAAATAAATAAACACACAAACACGCACACACACACACACACACATATTAAGAAATAAGATATTATTTATAGGAATTACATTATAAAAAAAATAATCATTGTGAACTTACGTCTTCATTTAACAATATGAGACCTAACAAAGGGCGAGACATGCTCCATTGATTTCTACAATCTTCAAACATTATCACATTTAAAACAGTACTTAAAATTTGTTGAAGTATTTCAGGATGCTGTTTCAAAACTTGCAAAAATAATTCTCCTCCTCCAGGAACAACTGCATTTTTCCTTCCTGGATATCCTGAAAACATATATATAATATGATATATGTATATAATATCAGTAATAGTACATTGTGCACCACGAGGAGAAAGCAGTGTTCAGACGAGTGTGAAGTTTTCCGCCCCGAGCCGAAAAAAGCTTTTGACTCGAGGTGCACACGATATTTTTCACAATACCTTTACGGAAATGTTTGATTTTTGCCTGTAGAGTGTGTGCGTTTGGTGTTTCATTCGTGCAGTTTATACGCGCGTATCGTTAAACAGAAAAAAAATAGAATGATGCGAGGTCCAGGGGCGAAACCCCCCACATAACACAAAATTAAAATAATAAAATTTTAAAAAGAAATATAACTAATTTTAATTATTACACTAAATCTGATTGATTTGGAATTTTATTTAGGGATATTATGTAAATATCCCTCATTATTTAGCAATATTATTAAGAAAAAACAATTCCAAATCAGTAGTTTTAATACAAGTAATTTTTGAATTAGTAATTATTTTTTTATTTATTGAAATTAATATAATTTTTACAAAGAAAGTCTTATTAGTTAGTGAATTTAATATTTAAATTACAATTTTCAAATTGGGAGATCGGATTATTTCCTCGATTTTGTATTGCCCGTTAGTTTACTTTCTGCCCGCTATACGGGGCAAAAAGTAACAACTTTCCCCCCTAGGGCGGAAAGTAAAGTAGCAGGCAAATACACTAACTCTGTTTACGCGCACGCCAGGAGTCGACAAGCAATCGTATCTACAATCCGACTGTATCACGACCAAAAATAATTCTAAATCAACATTTAAATTCGAGGAAATAATTCAATCTTGCAATTTAAAAATTGTCATGTAAATATTAAATTCACTAACTAAAAACATGGTTTTCGATTATAATAAGGCTTTTTCATTGTGTGAAAATTATATACTTTCAATAAATAAAAAAAAATGATTACTATTTCAAAAATTACTTTTATTAAAACTATCGATTTGGAATTATATTTTTCTTAACAATATCACTGAATAATAAGATAATTAATTACATCTATTTACATAATATCCCTAAATAAAATCCCTAATTGTCAATCAGATTTAGTGCAATAATTAAAATTATTTATATATATATATATTTTTTAATTTAATTGTTATTTTAATTTTGTGTTATGTGGGGGGCTTCGCCCCTGGACCCCGCATTACTCTATTTTTCTTTCTATTTAACGATACGTGCGTATCAACACTTTACAGGCATTCAAAAGTCGAACATTTCCGTAAAGATGTGAAAAATATCGTGTACACATCGGGTCGAAAGCTTTTTCCCTTTGGTGCACAATATACTATTACTATAATTTCTTGTACTAGTACAATTTCGTTGAAGACACGCTATATTTTATTAACAATTATTATTAAACATACCTTTTTGATAAAGTTGTTTAAACAAATATGTAACAATGTGATCGAGAGTTGCACAGCAACCAGTACAGACCATAGTATCTGAAATCAGAAAGTTGTATTTTTACTTCCAGCTTTTATCACGCTGGAAAAGTGAACATACATACATATACTTAAATTCATAGCACAGTGAAAAATACATGCAACCAAAATGGTAGCATTTTTATTGCAAGCTTATTAGGACCTACCTGCTTTTCTGTATAACGTAATGTCATAATATTTTGTAAATTTATAATTTTTAATAAGGATAAATAGTATTAATAAAACATTGTTACATAAATTTAAATGCAGAATGCAAAATTTTTTAAATTATTATTTTATATTATAGAATTACAATTATTTGCATCAATTTCTAAAAATGTGACTAACTGCAATTGTACAGAATTTCAATAACTTAATTTCTATTATTTTATCCATTTACAAATAATATACAAAATAATCTTAATATATTATACAAATGTATTGAGGTCGTTCATATTGTGTACAACTATTGAAAAATTGAAGCATATAATAATAATACATGCAACTGCAATTAGTACATTAGTCATTATAAAACATACATAATCTTTAAGTTAATGTTAATATATTTAGTAATATGTCAGCTGTGCGGCTGATTATCTGTCAGACCCGTTATTTGATTCCGTTTCAATGGAAACAGAAAATTGCATAACACTCATAGAGCACATTGTAAAGAAGCTATGTGATTCTTGCATATTGGACTTTATTATGTTTAGGGTCAGGCTCCACGCACTCCAATCCTCTTATAGCCAATGTTATTTGTAAAGTGTTCAGTGATTTCTTCATTATGCATAATAACGTACTCGAAATATACGTCTGATCCTCGCATTTCGAACTGTCGCGCATTTCGAACTGACTAATATCTATAGACACAGATTTACATTCCAAGCAATAATGCAAAAAGCAGAAATCTTAAAACCAATGTAGAATTGTAAAGTATGTATAAAAAAATAAGTACCTATTACAATCTTAAGTAGTTACGTTCGCAATAGTAACACAAATTTTTACATAATTTAGAAAAAATATATACAAAGGATAATTTTAAATGCAGAAGACTGTTATAAAAATGTATAACTTTTCCTGCATGTACCTATATGTAACATATTCTATTGAGTCAATTACTCTTTTCGAATATAATTTTACAAATAAATTAACATACGCATAATTTTGCTCGATTACAATATATGTTAAATATTTATAATCATCTTTTTTTTTTCTTTGTGATATATGTGGAAAAATTTTTTCTAAAAACATTAATTTACCGAGAAAAATAAAAGATTTTTTTTCAACTCGTAGATCATCTAAGTGTTAAAATAATTTCAAGATATGGCATTGAGGATATAGAGAGTAGTAGTAGCAAGATAGAATCAGCCGCACAGACCTGTATAGAAGTCTTTTTGCGCACCTAGTGCTGTAAGGCCTTCGCTGATACTGGAAAGGATGTAGAGAAAAACCCTAGGTTCCAAAGTGGATAAAAAGACCATGTGATCTTGCGCCAGACATTCGAGTAACAAATAATATGTTGCCGACAGTTTCGGATAATGCTATCAATAACAGTATATAAAATAAGGTAAATATTTTTATTATTATACATATTAATTTATCAAAACTACTGATATAATTTGATTATCAAGAAGTGAATTACCTAGATAATAAACAAAATGTTAGTATTATGACTAATATGTATACTTACCAAAAGATCACTTTGTGGAATACTAAGAAGCAATTTGACAAATGTATTAAGAGCATTGTCCAACGCCTCGTCACCGTACAGCCTAAACACTCCAAAATTTACATAACTTCCACATAAGGCTGCCTTTAACATACTGAAGCATATACTTATTCCTTTGAGTTTTAAGGGATAAATCTGATCCTTGGGTACTTCAACGTTCAATATGTGATTGCCGTAGCTACATATTATTTTGCTGGCCTCACGAAACAACAGGATCCCGTTTGGAGACGACGCGTCGAATTGTAATCGTTGACTCCTATTTTGTACTAACTCAGCAAATAACTTCAGGACGGGCGTTGTCACCTGCGGTTCGTGATGCCACAACTCCACAGCGTGTAATAAAATCGGCGTATAATTAGGATATCTAAGTTCAAAGAAAACATAGTAAAGTAATGATTGTTTTTTGATGTTACAAATCACTAGTTGTGAATCTATTTGTACACGTCTTATGTATGCGTATATATGTATATACGTACATCCAATCAAAAAGCATCATATAGGATGTTTTGGTGTTGAATGCATAAGCTAAGCCTCTAAGGTCTCGCGCCAAACCAATCAGCGCTTTCTTTGCTTCCTCTGCTGCAAAGAGAGGTGTATCTGCAGCACCCATTAATTGACCAAGGCTCTCCAATGCACCTAAAAAAAATTATATATAAGAAAAACGTATTTACTACATAATATTTCCAAAAAAGAATTGGTTAAATGTTGATAAATTTTCTTACCTGTAAGAGGTAACATAAAGGTGTGAAATCTTTCCTCGTCCTCACCTAAATCTACCATCAATAATCTACCAAGAGATGTGTAAAACATTGATCTACAGCGCATTTCTGTCACAGCTACATTGTTTCCCAAAAATGGAAAATGTTCTCGCTGTCAATACGAAAGATTTAAGTTATTATATGCAAAAGATTACTAGTTAATGTTGTAACTCACTATTTATGTAAAATGTTAAGCAGTAGTAGAGCTCAATATATACCGTATGATTGTTGAGCATAAATTGTACTTCTTCTAATTTGACGAGTTTACGAACACAACTATAACCCACTGATAAATCATTTAGAAGTTGTAGCGTCTTGGAAATAATTTGTTCGCTCCTGCCCCAGTACTTCAAATTCGTTATTCTGTAAATTACCGGCATTAATCCCGACTGCGGCAAATCGCAGGAGTGTTACTTACATTTTTCGTATACGTTACTCACATCTTTCGAATAAAAATGCTGAGTACCATCGCCTCGTCGTTAAGACCCAACACATCAGACAATCTCCTGTACACTTTAGAATTCTTTTGAACTTGATCGCCGACGTAGATCTTTCGAAATTGCTCGAAAAAACTCAACATCGCTAATTCCAGTTTCTCACAGCCACCTTGCGCGAGTCTCGAATCGGTCAGGTTCATCAATTGAAGCACTCTGCAAACCAATTCTCCGTCCATAGCGTCAAACTCCTCATTGCTATTAAATGCAACCCTCCCGCCTATAACACCACCTAAGAAAGATGAGAAAAGGATTATATAAATATTGTTATGGAAAACTTATGAAAAACAACAATGCATTAATATATTTCATTTACCTATGATATACACAAGCCATGTGAGTTGTCCCTCCTGGATCGCAATGTCGATTTGTTGCGTCGGTGACACCGTTTGCGTCATTAGCTCCTGATACGTTCTTGCAGCTTGATCAAACAGTTGGACTAGCAGGGTGCACGTTTTTTGATATTCGCATCTACCAATGACCGATATTTGTTCTAATTGATGATGAACCACTCCTAGATCATCCAACGGATCCTCTAGGCGTTCTCTGACCACTACTGCTACCGACTCGAGTCTTGATGTGATGTATGCGTTTGTAACTTCCGGGGTGTACGTATTCAATAAGTGTGGATCACCCGCTTTTACATATGGCATTGAAGATACCATCCTCTGCCACAGGGTCAAAAGATAGTGCAAACTGTTTGGCGCAAATTGCCACATCTGTAAGCTCTGCACTGTAAACTTGGCGATCAGTTGTATTGCTTCGGGATAATCCTCCACCAAGACCAACTCGCCAAGTTGGAAATTGCTCTTCAGTCGAGATAATAATCTACAAAACTCGTGATAGTTTCCTGGATCACTAAGCCCTTGAGGATTCTGTAGTATATGCTTAATACCATTGACTAAGTGCGTCAGAAATTTTGCCCTTTCAGTATTAGAGAATAAACTCCGTCTGACAGACGCTATTTGAACCAGACATGAAAGTGCCAAACACGATAACGTATTAGGTAGACTGTGATATAAATCAAAAAATAGTTTCAACGAAGTAAAATCCAGAAACGCAGGTCTCCAGCTCGTCGGAATTTGTACTGTGTTAAGATCATCCGAACTCTCATCGGTCGATGTGCCAATAAAGTCAAATGTCAAACAGTTTTGTGCAAGCTTTAACAGTTGTCTTATCAAACCGTGCTGTAAAAAACAAACATACAAACGACGGCATTAATGTAGAGTACAAAAAGTTGTCACCAATCATCATGCTAATTGCTCGCTATACCTGCGCTTCATCGTTGAAATTTAAACTTTTACAATTTTCACGAGCTGTACTCAGTAAGGTACACGATAACCTAAATATTTCAAATAGTTGGGTATCTCTAAAGCTACTTGCTATTCTTCTATGCTTTGTCAGAGATCTGTTCGCATCAGCTTCCGATATTTGATTCATTTCACACGTCAATTGAGAGAGCAACTGTACTCCTATCATACAATGCTCCACCGACCCCTTTGATTATTACAATAAAACATTATTAATCATAAAACAACGTACGTGCATAGAAAATACAGTGCTTAACATCGATAAAGTATGCCAAACCTGAAGAAACTTGGCTACGTCGCTGACTACATTTCTGAAGATAAATTCCTCTTTATCGGAATCGAACCACCCAAGCTTTGATATCCTAGCGAATAGCGTAACCAAAGCCTGTATCACAAAATTCGGTAACTTTGGTTGCGTTGCTAAGTAGTTGAGTACGTAATTTCCTGTAAAGATATTTATATATAAGAAAGTGAGACATCTGATCCCTCCTTCAAGTTTCAAGAGATACGACTCTTGTCTCGCGTAGCAAAACTGAAGGGAACGAAACGGATCGTCACTTACGTATATCGAGCCTCTGTTGTAAGCTGAGTGTAGTCGTGAGTTGTCCCTGCGCCGAACGTGACACTAGCTTCGTCAAGGTGGTAGCGGCCAGTAATTGAGCATACGCGGAGTCCCCGCGGTCCAGAAGAAGCTGGCACTTTGTAAGCGTATCCGGGGCATTTTGAAAAGCGACCAAAGCCTTTTCCGCCTCTGCGCGATGCGCCGAATCTTGCGACTCGTACAATTGCTTGCATAGCAACTCCAGCTGCCGTACTTCCTGCATGTGATCCATTCTTAGTCACACTGTTTAAAGCCGTTTCTTAAGACTTCCATTTAGGTAGGAGTCTAAAAGTTTTGCAACGGTATATCCACTTTTATGATGCCTCGCAAATCTTTATTAGCGACTTGCCGTTACTGTCCGAGACATTTACAATTTTACAATACAGTTGCATTATGCCGACTGAATCACAGTTTGAAGCATTGAGCTTATTTAGATGGATTAGTTAAAAGAAAAACATGACGACAGTTTCATTTTTTCTTATACAGGGTGGCGCGCCCGAAATATCGTATCATAAAAGTATCTCTCTGAGAAAGGATGTATCTCTAAAGTCTAAATTCTAAAAGATGGTGAGATCGAAGGTTATATCGATGTTGATGACACTTGTACGAGCTGCATTCTACATATTCCGCATTACGTTGGTGATAAATGTAAAAGACTTTCAATTATGTACATATTCTGTTGTGTCAATAATATTACAAAATTTCCAATTAAATAAAAGGAAACAAAAGTTATGATATCTCGTATGTGTTTATCACCACCCTGTGATAAATAATAAATTCTGCCCAACTGGGATTTCATTGCAATTGGCATAAAGTTGTTGTTTTATTAGACGCAATTTTACAAACGTTTTCGAGTTACATAAAATAAACGAGGAACATTTTGTGCAATTGAGTAATTATTCCGACCGTGTGAAAGATTGAAAGAAATATACCGAACGACGTAAAAGAACAGTAAAATAAACGGTTTAAAGTGTGTCACGCGGATCCAAGTGACGTAATTTATAAATTATACGATATTTACACTACTGTGCTTCATACGCATAGGTGTGTGTACACAAGCGCGCGCGTGCACAGTTGCGATTTGCGATAACGAAGCCGAGAAAATTAGAGATCTCGATCTCCATTTTGCGACGAACGCTCATCGCGTCTATTTCGCTGATAAATTGCGCACAAGGTTCTGCCAAGTGCCATCGGATGAAAGATCTCAGAGACGTGCCAGGTGACGCGCCGGACTCTACGCGGGATCTCGCGAGCCATGGACAGGTTATATGCGAGCGACAGGTTGTAAATAAACAGCCGCGCGTTATCGTGGAAATTGGTTCGGGGGGGGCCGAGCGCGGGGATCGAGCGCTCTCTCGCTTTCGCTCCGCGGGTGTAACCCTTGTGGTGACTGTGACGGTGGTGATGGTGGTGGTGGTGGTGGTGGTGATGGTGGTGGCGGTGGCGGTGGTGGCGGCGGCGGCGGCGGCCGCGGCGTACATACAACAACGTATATACATACGCGAGGATAAACAACGACAAACGTCGGCCGGAGTTCCCGCACTTTTTCATTTACATCGCGGTACGCCGACTTTCATGTGACGCTCGTCACGGGGAAATCGCGACATTCGCGACTGAAACGCGCCACACTTGGCGATCGTGCTCCAGAACTCCACTCCGCACTGTGCAGTACCGTGGATCAGGTGATTTCTGGCGTAGGCCATTAATTGTCCCTTGGATCAATCAGAATCCGCCAGGATCACCAAGAGAAACCCTCTCAGTTTGATAAGCGCGATGGGAACAGGCGAAGACCAGCGTGAAAGAGACGGAGAGAAAGGCGATCGGCAGCGATTGAAATGGCACGATTGGATCGGGCCGCGTCGCCCCGGTCCGGTCCTCCTATTGCACCCGCGTCACCATTTCCCGCTTTGTCAGCACGATGGAAAACGGCGCTTCTCGCGCGACAAAGTTCTCACGGCGCGGCGGCCTTCCCGCGAGAGATTCGGCGAATGCGCGCGGACGCGCCGCACACACGAACAAATTCACGCACGCACGCACGAGTGTAGGTTTGAGGACACGCGCGGAAATCCGGCGCGGATTCCGCCGGCGGATCGTGACCGCTCGCGCGGCACCGCTTCGCTCCGCGTCGCGATTAATAGCGTGGCGTCGCGCGCGGGTCCCGCGTGTTCCTCTTGTCGGCGACTCACCTGTTCGTCCGCCATTTTTCGCCAGCCTCGTATTATCTACAGTGAAGCTAGGATCACATGCCAGCCTCCGTCTACGGCCGCTGCCGGCGCATGTTTACACCAACGATCTACGTTGCATTGCACGCGTCCCCGTCGCCCCATCCTGTGTGAGACGCGCGAACGGGCGTCATCTTCCTTTCGCCGACCGCACTACTCGCGCTTATAAGAACGCACTCTGCGATCGGACAAGTTGAGGGGGTGACCTATGGATCTTGAAATGAGAAACTACAAAAGTGAGGAAATAATTCACTAAAGTACCTACGATTTCATTGGTCGAGATCTAGTAAATCTATTCATTTTTGGGTAAAGTTGCAGAAGTACTGCCTCACCTTAAAATCGAATGAAAAAATACGTTTTCGACGTATTTTTGGCTGCTGATTACGAATATCATAATATAAAGCTATATCCACACAAACTTGCATAGGTGCATAACCATATGCATAAAGAAACGGATTGGTCTATTTCCTTATGCACATGCATATGCACCAATCAATTCTCTTATGCTTATGTTTATGCGCTATGCAAGTTTGTCTGGATTGACCTTAAAGGTGGAAGCACATAAAATTGCAGGAGCCATGAGCAGAATGCAGAAGCCATATGCGCATGCGCTGTGGTATCTGTAGAGCTCTACAGATACCACCTTAATTTGGCGGTCGGGCATATTGGAGCCGCCATTTTGAAAAAAACTTCGAAAAATGCGACTTTTTTTATATTTTTGCTTCTATAGTCAAAAATATGCATCGGATAAAAAAATGTTTCTAATAAAAAAGATAGAGTATTAAATTCCCTATAAAAAAGTTGTATAAAATTTTTTCCTAATCTTAAAAGGAAGCTCATAAATGAGCGATGAATGTAACCATAATGCGTTTACGTTCGCATACAAAGTACGTATGCTTATGAGATTCGCTGTACTTTCCACACACGAAATGCTTGTTAATAGTTCATACGTGCGTGTGTTTACCGAGTCCAAACCCTTTCTGGAATGTGTGTGTCCTGCTCTCGGCATCACCCAGGATCAACGACGTGGACGTTAGCAGGATACTGATCCCTTCGGGGTGTTGGTTTAATGGTTACTGACGCGCGCTTTAAAAGTATTCAAGTATTTAAAGCGCGTCAACTAACCTATGTAGTCGGTTCTTATTTCAAGACCGTCTTGACTACGGATTGGGATTGAGATTGGATTGAAATTTAATCAATCAGAATAGAGAAACTGATCTCAAATTTAGTGAACTTTGCTTTGATTGGTCAAACTTCAATCCAATCTCAATCCCAATCCGTAGTCCGATACGGGCTTTTACCCCGGTTCTATACATTGGTCGTATCGTAGCATAAATCAAAAGGTGTTCATTGCATTTCGAGTTGAATGATATAAGAGAGATCCGTGACGTTTTTTTGTACTTTGTTTTATATTCTCTTTTTTTTAATTATTATTATTTTTATTTTGTACTTACTAGCCGATGAAGTACTTACATACCAGAGATACCTCCGACCCCTCTCATGTGAAATAAAAAAAATTTTTTTTGTTAAACTGGATGAAGAAAACTAGTGCTTGTCAAAACTGATTTTGAAAATATTGATTTTTTGAAAAATGGCAGCGATTCGTAGCAAAAAATGGGATTTTTTACTTCGAAAAAATCGGACTTCTTCTATTTATTAAAAAAGCCATAGATCGAAAAAAATCCTATAACAAGTACTAGATTATTATATTAAAAATAGCTGTAAAAAATGTCATTCAAATCGGTTCACTATAGTTTGAGATATTTCTGGTACCGATTTTTAAAACACTGTTTCGGGAAAATAGCTGCCAGGATCTCAATTTTTGATATTTTTGCATTAAAATTTTCGGGAGATATTCTCAAAAAACTATAATATACTCTACAAGACATATGTATCTTTATTTTTTAATAAAACATAATTTTACTTACAATAAAAATTCATTAATTTTGACCTAGTTTTAAGGAGGGAATCTACTTTAGCCGGGTGAAAAATGATGATTTTTTGGGAATTTTTTTCAAGGAAACTAAGTGATATTGGATTAATTTTTTTTGTAATATGGAAAGGCATTCTTAAAGAAAAAAAAAATTTTTTTTTTCAGTTACGTTAATTTTTATTATATTGACGGACAATTTTGTAGCGCAATGTTGGTAGCGCAACGGTTAGCTGCGTACAGTGTAGCAACGAGCTGAGTAATCTGAAAGCAAAAAATCAAAATTTTCTTTAAAGCTTAATCAATTACGCAGAGATTGAACCTATTTGCAAATAAAAATATGAAAAATTGAAGAAGTTACAGCAATCGTAAGAAAAGTGACATTTTTTTTAATCAAAAAAATCGATCTTTTGTTGTTGATAAAAATGTTATAAATAAATAATAAAATGTAAACGTAGATTCAATCCCTGGAGAAAATTGTAAGGAATCGAATCATGCTTGGCGAAAGTTATTTGAGTGATTACTTTTTGAGTTATCTTGTACGCAAAGTTGGAAAAAGTGGTTTTGAGAAAAACGCGTTTAAAGTTTATTTTTTTGCTCTCAGCCAAAAAAGCACTAAAAATGCATGCAAATTTTATAAAGGTTTTTGAGGTCGTTAAATCCGAATCTGATATCAGATTTTTAAAATTCAAAATGGCGGATTTAATATGGCGGATTAAAAGAGTCTCAGAATAAAGAAATGAAGTTTTGAATGTTTTCACGATACTTACAGTTAAATAACGCTCAATCCGCTATTCCGGGCCCATCTAAAATGCCTTCCTCTTCCTCGTAGAACTCCTGTTCGGCAGTTTTCGTCATTTTCTTGGCTGTTCGAGCTTCTTTAGTGCTTTCCAAGATACACACACAAACAAACACACACACACACACACACACACACAAATACTCTCACATAAATATAAACACTATAGGGTCAAATAAAATAGTTGTAGGTCTAGCAGGTATATAGGATTCTTTTGTTCCCGCAATAATAGAACCGAGAACGCTGCGAAGCCAGTATAGCGTACGTCTGCTGTATCGATCCTCCGCGCGCCTCACTAAAAAGAGCTGTAGTTTCGTCAATTTTACGAGTTTGACGATAATACTTTGGGAATATATTCTTGAACCCTTATATTATTTATTTATGCAAAAAAATATCGATTTTTTTGACCCATCAAAGTAGATTCCCCCCTTAAGGCTTGTCAAACGTATGTAACCCCTTAAATTATACCTAGGAAACATCTCAGGAACTATTTATGACACCTATATTGAAATTTTTTGAAAAATGTTTTTCTACCCATATTACAATTTAGCATGTTTAACGGTCTGTTATCACGTAATATGCAAATCTATTCATCCTTGCGCTATTTGATATGTAGCCATCTGAGAGAGGAATTTAGACCACTCGACTGTAAAATTTTATAGCGTGATTAAATAAATATGCGTACGTTGTACGCAGAAGGAAGAGACAATAATGGATTTTATAAAAAATCCTCTGTGTTCTTGTGTAGGTATTATATTTCGAATATAGCTTTTGCACAGCCTTTGTATCCTCTCTATTCAATTATTCTCATACACGAAGATTCATGTCGATATTAATAATAAAGCATCACAATATCTTCTTAAGGATATTTTACTGGGTATTCCCGACAATCGCAAACGCCCACGCGATCTGATCGCAATGCGTGTCACGATGTTCTTATAAGATACAAGTCCACATAATTTCTTAACTATTACGTCCGATATTTCGTATCTTCAAATATTTGGCTCTGTGTTTAATATTATTCCTGTGTTTCCTACTCGGTCGATTTGTCGAAGATTAATTCGATGGATATATTTTTATATATAGAAGATGTGGCAGAAGATCTTTTTCAACTCCAAGATCTCTCGAATTCTAGTTAAAGAGAAAAAAAGAAGTAGGAGAAAAATGTTTCAGTACCCTAGTAAGGAATACAGGAAGACACAGAATAAGCAATCGTATTCTTTGATAATACCTACATACGCGTGTCTGTTGATAGTGGAAAGATAGAGAACATTCCATGTTTGTATATAATGCAATAATATGTTTAATGTCTGACTACGGTCACTATTACTTCATCTACTCACTGAAATAAATCGCAACTCAAAAATCTACGTATCCCGTCTAAGTATATCCTACATTGTCCTACAAAATTATCCTTTACGCTGCACGCTGATACTCTATATACCTATATGTATGTATGTATGTATGTATGTATGTGTATATATATATATATTTCAGATTTTTTCAACGTGATTTTTTTTATTATGGAAAATCGTTTAGAAAATATTTGAAAAAATTCTCAAAAATCCTGTGCTGTATATAAAAATGTTCAAGCAACAGCTTACAGTGAACTGATGTCTGCTTCTAATTTTTTTCAATATTTTTTTCAAAAAAAACTCGAGAAAGCTCGAAAAAATTAGAAGCGGAAGTCGGCCCACTTTGGGTCAAGGCTTAAAAATTTTGATATTTAACACGGGATTTTTGAGAATTTTTTTAGATTTTTAAATTGTGGCCATCGATATGTCGATTTAAAAAATTATAACTAAATCAATTTTATAAAAAAAAAAAATCTAAAAAAAATCTGAGTGCATTTTATAGTTGGAACAATAACATAAAAAATCGCCGACCAAATCCGAGAGGTCGAGGGTCAAACCCAGGTCGATTTGGCATGGAATGCCTCATATATATATAAACACGCACATACTTCAAAATTATACAAAATTCTCATCCAATCTAATATTTTAAAGTTTCTGCGTTTTTACCCAGGTCGCGTGCAATTTGTTATTTTCCCACTTGTTCTCTCGTTTCCCACCTGCCCGACATAGAAACGTTAATGACACGAACGAATTGTGTACAAATATCTGTTGTATCTATATATTTCATTTTTTTCCCTTTAATTATGCGTTACAATAGTAAACAAATTTCGCGCATTTTAAATATTAATTTAGTATTGCCCTACTATTTCCACGCGCATTAATATGTAAATTGCATTCTGTATACATAGCTCGTATAAAATTTTGAGATTAACGTCACGTATACACATTGAAAAAATCAAAATGTAAACTTTCTTCTATAATCTTATTATAGGACTGAAAGATTCAAATCATCGTAATGTTACATCTTGAAATATGTATTATTATTTTCTATGACAATTTGTTCTGTATAACCCATTATATTTATTGATAAGACAGTTCATAAGATCATATTATGTTGCATTTTTTTACTGACCATTAACAAAACGCATATTTGAAAAACGTTCGGTATTTCACTTCTTTAGTAGTATCTTACTTTCATATAGTTATCAACACTGTGGCATGTTTAATATCATATATTCGAAGATGTCTTGCCTTTAATCACGCTCAAAGTATCTGTATGGTATCATGAGATTTTAGCTGTACCTTATTTCGCGAATATAATGTGATATAATATTGCATATGTGTATACATTAGTATTCACGCTGTTCACGAAGCACGAACTGTTTTATAACATCACAACCATTTAGGTGTTTTATAGTGACGTCATTTGAATTACGTATGTTTTATATTCAGTATGTACGTAAATGTGTAAATCTAATGTTCATTTTTATCAATGTAGATTAACTTTAATCTTGGTTCAACTTACTTTTTCCCTTTGCTTTTAGTTCTAAGAATTAGAAAAAGATAAAAAATAAGTAAAATTGAGATTGAAGTTAATTTGCATTGATAGAAATGGATATAAATGATAAGTCTCGTTTATCTGCTATTAAAGTTTTTGTTATATTTAAAGAATATATTTCTTAAAATTTCAGTGAAATACCAAGTCGTAAAAAATTTAACACTTCTAGAAAAAAGAGCATTAATACACATTTCGCACAGGTTAGCAATTTAGACAAATATAAAAATGAGAAACACTTATAGTGCACAAAACATGAATAAAATGAGTTAAACGAGATCAATGGTCAAGATATAATAATAGCGTTTCTTTTCCTTTTTTTAACAGTAGTTAAAGTTATTTTAAGATCACACGCTATATTTGTTCGGTATGAATATAATAACAATGATAATATTTACATTCTAATGTAGTGATTTTTATATTCTAAATGCAAATAGTATCGTACCAAATGTAGGCTGTGCAGAGGTTGTTGACTCTTCACTCGCTTTTTAAATAAGTTTCACAAAATTCGAATATCTACAAAAAACTGTTGTACATTCAATCAAAAATTTTTCTTACAATTCCAAACATGGGTATGTAGCACTTTCTACGAGCTATTTTCAAGAGACGGTGCAACACGATAATTCTCCCATGTAACAATTTTCTTTACACATTCACACAAAATAAGTACTCCAATCAAACAACATTTTACAATTCTTTTTATCATAAATTAATTATATAAAAAATCATTAATTTCTTGTACTATAATACATCTAATGTCTTATTAAGTGTAATATCCAGCCTCCCTAAAAACGTTTTGCTACATTACATATTGTAAGTCTTTCTTTTTTTTTATCGTAGGAAAATGGTCTTGACTCCTATCATGTCATAGAGCGTAGAAGAATTCCAGATATGGCCAAAGCAGACAACGACAATCGTTTACATCCATGGGATGTATTTATGCGGCTTTAAACATACTGTTCGTTCCTAAACGCGGTGCGTCAAGCGCATATTTAAATTATAATTTATAGTTTTTACGCAAGTCAGTCCGTTTACTTTTCTCTTTCTTGAGGAATTTCTTTTGCTGTTTGCCAGCAAACAATAAATCAAAGTCATTGATCAATCAAATTTTTCCCTCAGTCGTTTTATGTATAACTGCTGTTCACACAGGACACTCATCATGGGGCATTTCATCGTTTGCGCACATTGTCGTGAACACATTGAATTCACTCACTAACCACTTGTCTGAAATACGAAGTCTTGCGATTAAATTCCGCAATATATATAAAGGATACGGAGAAAAACGATCATAATCCACGCGCTTGTGAGGAAGAAGCATCAGAGTTCAACATACAATGTAAAACTAAGTAAACACTATGTATTCCGATATTCACTGCCAGTACTTCTTTTAATAGCTTCCTAAAATATCTGATGTCTTTAAACTTAAAATTGTGTTTTTCTCGAAATTACTCCAGATGGACATTGATCGTTTTTCCTTTCATATATTTTTTACTAGAATTTATATTTATATATAAAATAAGTTGTTACTCACCTGTAAGCGTAAAAATCGAATAATTCATAAATTATACTTACAATTATATCACAATAAAGGAATCTCCGTATTGATACGTCACTCGAATGCTGCAAATAAGAAAAATATTTTGTTTTTATATTTGATAACATAAAGGTGATGCTGGAGCCGTCTGTTTTACCGGCATTTTTTGTCGTCACGTAGCGTCGTATTAATTTGACAGAATTAAAAATCCTTCTCTAGAATTGCAGTACATACATTAATGATTCGGGGAAACTCCGATTTTACATAGAAAACAAGAAAAAATTACGGAAGTACAGATTTCCTTATCTACTTTTATCCCAATATGGCGTCTCGATATTGCGGCGGCGAGCTGTCAGCTCGTCACAAGATGTATTTCATATAAGAGATTAAGAGATATACCATTGGTACGAACGCGAAAACAAGTTCCCCCGAATTGCACAACAAGAAAAACATCGATAAACCCCCCAAATCAAGATTTGGAAGCGTAATATAAAAGTATGATGTCGATGTGCATCGTGCGTATGTGTGCGTGCAATGTAGCGTGCTATCCTTGTCTATATCTTTGTCTATACAAGGACAGATATAGTCGATAACATAGAAAATGGTAATTTTGTCGGTTATACAGACGGCTCCAGCAGCATCATCTTAAATACTTCAATTTTAGCATGACAAAATATCTAGCATATTTACGGGAAGGAGATCTAGTATCGGCTTGGTTCGGCGCTCCATCCATCGGCAGACGTCCACTGCATACACTTCCGCTTGACGGATTGTAATTAAGAAAATCCCAAATGAGTATTGTATCATCGTGAGATGATGAAACTATTTGGAACTCATCAAACTGAAGACGAAACACACGTCCGGTATGCTCCTACAAAAGAAGTACAAATAAGATTGATGATAATGAATGAAAATTGTTACTCAGTGGGACGCTTGGCAAATTGCTGACTAAATGTAATATGTATGAGAAAATATGCGTGCGTGCAAAAATATCTTACCACTAAAGTTCGCAAACATAATGTACTGGCAACGGCACGAGGATCGAGAGCAGCTACGAGGTCCCAAACTTTGATTTTTCTGCAAAACACAATAATAAATATAAATTCAATGCTTTTACAAGTTTATAAAATTAATGTTATTAGAGAAAAATTTGCATCTTTCAATTCAACTCTAAATTAATTATCAATGTAAAATCTAATATAAATATTCCTTAGCTGGCACTGTGGGGTATTAAACGCCCCAGCCTAGTTCAGCTCAAATTTAAACCCCTTTATATTACTAAGCTCTATTTTAAACTACCTATAGTATGTTCCAGTGTGCCAGCTATGTGATTCTGGTGAAGTATGCCAGCTAAGGGATATCAATATGTAACATAAAATATAAATTTCTTGCTTTTTTACATATTGAAAAATAATATGCTATAAATATAAATTGTATTATTTTTCTAAATAGGAGAATAAAAAAATTATTATTATTATTATTAAAAGATAATGAATATGACGTATATAAACTTGAATTTTCTATTCGCTGAAAGTTTACGATCTCACATTGCAAAGACAGGATTAAAGTCAGAATTAAGACATTCGCGGATATTCGTATACGCACCCGTCATAAGCACCGCTGACGATGTGTTTACTATCGAAACGAATACATCTCACTAATTCTTCATGCCCTTCCAGAACACGTAAGCAAGCTCCGCACTCGATGTCCCATAGACGTATGGTATTATCACTACTACCACTAACTACTAAGCGATCCCTATACTGCAAACACGCTATGCCGCGTTTATGTCCGTTCAATGTTCGCACAAATTCGCAATTGGAGGTGTTCCATACTTTGATAGTCCTATCACCACTAGCGGAAACAATGTATTTCTCATCAAAGTCAACTACGTTCACTGCTGCTCTGTGCCCCACTAATACTCTTCTCAACGCAATCTCTGTCTGCGATGTCATATCCCAGACTGCTATTGAACGATCCTGCGAATAATAACTGTTATCAATAATGATTCGACTCCAAATAAAAATTATAAAATAAATTATAAATTATAAATAAATTCTAATAAGTAGAAATTCTAATAAGTAGAAATTCATCGTTCTTCTTCGACTGACCTTTGAGCAAGTGACCATCATGCCGTTGTTAAATCTGAGATGCAGTACTGCCTCACAATGATGAATTAACGTGTTGACCATTTCACCCGTGGTAGCGTCCCAAACTCTCACAGTGCTATCCGAGGAACCGGATATTATAGCCTTATCATCATATTGCAAACAAAGAACAGAACCCGTGTGCCCCGTCAACACCTTGATACACTGCAGAGTATTTCTGTCCCAGATCTTAATCGTGTTGTCTCGAAGCCCGGAAACTATCTTTTGGTCATCATATTGCAGACAATAAACTCCTTTCGAGTTCTCGCTGCGACAGTTGATTCTTTGAAGATTGAATCGGCCCATTCTCCAGTTGTTCTCTATACTTTCGATGTCTTTGACAATTTTTGGATAAAGAGATCTGTAGAAATTGTGATTCGGATGGGCCTCGCCCGGTTTCGGTTTGAAGAGATATTGTATCCTGAAAGTAAATTTTACATGATAAATAAAAAAATATAAAGAGATATTTTACGTATATATATTTTACGGTATGTTTACGATATAGACTACAAATAATGCTCTACGCATATAAGTATCACATTTGTGTTGTCGTGTGTTTGTCAGAAATTTTATAATTCATATATTCCAAGTTTCCACTCACCATCCTCTTCTTTCAGCCAGACCTCTCCAAACTGAATCCGTTCGGACCTTACGTTCAATCAATTTCTTCCAAAGCATCCCTTCACTGATAACCCTATGCCATTCCTTGCACACTAGCTCTGCAGAAACAAGCGACTTTGCGTCAAGGTACGAAAGAATACTTTCTGCCACGTGGTCCAATCCTTTTTCTGTAAACCATTCATTCGATATTATTAAAGGTAATAATTAGAAATATTGTTCGAGATATATGTGCAAATAATTTGTAAACAAGTGTTGAACGTGAAGCGTATGTGTTTACTATGCGTATGTATTACTCACTCGGCAAAAGTGAAATAAAATCTCTCTGTAGCATCGGTTTGAGATACGCGTTGATGTGTCCGTGCTGATAATGACACATTCGTGCTAACAGCTGTTCGACAAACTGCACTTGCTCCGGTTCGCTCCATCTCTCGAACAGTTTCATACAAATTTCTTTTTCCTGTCCATATTGCGTTGACGCTCCCGTAGATGGTTCTTTCTTACAGCTGGGATCGTAAAGTATCGTCATCGGGTACTGTAACAGAATATTAACAATTACATCTTTACATCTAAAATATACCACTTTGCGAAAGTTAAATATAAGAATAGGAGAATATAATTTACACGATGATATTTATGAAGTGATTGTTCTCACAGGGTTTTTTCATTAATCAATTAAAACTAAAGAAGATATTCATCATTGACATTTAATTTATTACATAGGTAGTAATCTCCCTGGTAACCAGTTTGCTAGTTCAGATGCGTCCCGAAGAAGTGCGCAAGAAAACAGTCCAAAATTGCGACAAAAGTGCATAATATCTGTGACTGAACGAGTACTTACTGTACTATTGCAGTAGTCTGCTGTAAGAAGCTACTGTGAAATTTTATACTATTTGTTAAAAGTAAACATGTAGCAGAAATTTGAAAACAATATGGAAGTATCTTTTGAGTACAGATCCAACCGGCAGAAACGTGAAAAGAACGTGCAAGCATCTGCCCGTGAGAAAAAGAGCAGTCGAGTGTGCTAGACGCTTGAAACATATTTGCAGCATTTCACAAGTGTATGTCGCTTAAATTGTTGTTTTTGCCATACAGATTCGACCGGCAGAAACGTGAAAAGAACTTGCAATCATCTGCCCGTGAGAAAAAGAGCAGTCGAGTGTGTTAAACTCTTGAAACATATTTGCAGCAAAATTTCACAAGTGTATAATATCGCTTAAATTGTTGTTTTTGCCGTATAGATCCGAGTGACAGAAATGCGAAAAAAGCGTGTAAGCATCTGCCCGTCAGAAAAAGAACAACCAAGCGCGCTAAACTCCCAGACAGCACAAAATATTTATAAAATATTTATAAAAAAGATTAAATATTTTGAAAATATATACGTTGAATATTTTGTAAATATTATAATGTCCGGAAAATAAAAGTATCTAAAAGATTATAATAAATAATTTAAAATAAAGTGTAAATAATTATCATCAATATTATTAAAGTTGTTTTTAATTTATGTTATAAATATTTATAGAAATAATTACTGTAAGTTAAGTGGAGATTGTGAAACTGTTATAGCTTCGTGCTGTGAGATGTAGGCTATACGTACGGTCCATTTTGGCGTTACAAATTTCGAAAAATGTTTGATTGATAAATGATGTGCGGTATATTCTACCAAAATAACGATAACGCTCTCAATAACGATAAATAAACAAAACAAGGCAAATGAGAGCTCGTTCGCGACGATGGACGGGCGACAGTAATAAAATATTACAAATTGAATAAAATATATATAATAAAGTAAACGTTTCGGTTCTTGATTTGGACCCTCCTCAGTACATATAGCTGGTCGAGTGAAATGCATTGGTCACAAGTAGTAAAAAATGCCGCGTAATACTTATTGTATTACGCGGAGAGATGGTGTCGTATATCTTATAAATTTGACTGTCAGGTAACTCTTGTGATCACTTTTTAAGGTATGACTATATATATTTGTTTAATTTATTTCTTTTTATGGAATTAAGGTAACAGTCACGTTGAGGATACGCGATCCACACTCTCATAATCGGAGAGCGGAATAACTGCATTTTTGACTACTTGCGACCACTGCATTTCACTCGACCAGCTATATGTACTGAGGAGGGTCCAAACCAAGGACCAAAACGTTTACTTTATTATATATATTTTATTCAATTTGTAATATTTTATTACTGTCGCCCGTCCATCGTCGCGAACGAGCTCTCATTTGCCTTGTTTTGTTTATTTCTGCCAATCATTTGTATTTCTGCTGCTCTACTTCTTACGCAAACATCTGCCGTAATTCTTGTTGAATTCTGCTGTATGTGCTAGTTTGCAACGATGCCGCTAGGCGGCGCATAATAGTAAAACTAACTCGTAAGTAAATTTCAGTTGGGATCTAATATAAGCAGGCCTCCGGCAAAGCGCGAAGTAAAATCATGACATTCGCGACAATCTTCGCCAGCAATACAACGCAAGGCTTACCCAACACCACTGCGGTGCTATAAATATAAAAAATATTTTTGTATTAAATTATTTTAATCTTCCTAAAAAATATGTTAAAAATATTTTGTGCTGTATGGGTAGCAGTAGGCGCTGCTACAAATCTGGCACGATTATGTTGCACTGCGATTTGCGCAAGCATCTGCCGCATTTCTTGCACTATTCTGCTATATGTAAATGCATACACATATCTTCCACAATTCTGTTGCACTACGACGAGAGCAAGTTTCTGCCAACAGAAAAATAGTCAAAGTTGGAAATAGAAAACGCATGATCTGCCCGAAAGTTAGTGCACGACTTTTCGTGCAGTTTACAGCAGAATTGCAAAGGAATGGTTGTTACCAGGGCTCTTTTGGAATATATAATGTCTAAACTCTTTTATTAACATCTTTTACACATGCGCACGTAATGACGTTTACTCTTATTGTATCGACGTTACACTATATAATGGGAACGCAAATAAACGGACTAAGAATATCGCACCGTGCATAATGTGTATTATCATATCGATGCACACATCGTTGTTTTCCGATTAATCGCGTATAAGACGCTATATGTATATCAGAGTGGACAAGTTATACGAAGCGTATATAATGCTTGAATACGCCTTGAGAAAGAAACCCAACATACTCGAGTAATCGTATTCCGAAATTCGCATAAATAAAGTGTACATAACTGTCAGTTAATTACGTCATGGTTATTTTCATGCACTGTTGGCAAAGTAACAAATGTAAACAAATGTAAACAATAAAGTAGCTAAAACTTAAGTGCGTAGTTTATAATAAATAATAAAACACATTATTACTTTATAGACCTTTTTTTCAAATATAAATCTATCGAATCTAAAACGAAAGAAGTTTCATCATTCCGTTAGCGATGGTAACATGAATAATACAGATTAAAGATTAGTGGCATAATAAATAACACTATAAAAAGGGATAATAAATATATGTCATGGGATTTAAAAAGTGTTTTTAAGTGCTTCGTGTTTCGTAAACTAACGGCTAATTACCAACGGCGCGACTGCAATTTTCGCAATTTTAACATTAACAATTGAGAACAAACGCAGGAAAGCGCTAATCTTATCGCGATATTAAGAAACTTAAAATGTCGAAAGACATGATGTAAAACAACGAGATTTTTAATTCTATCGTGTTCATATCGAAGTTGCCAAGAACGCCAAGAATACCTAAAATCCTGAATCAATGTTGGAAACTATTATCAATGTTGGGAACGTACGCGCGCACACAACATGCACACAACAAAAAGAAAATATAACAATTTTTTACTAAATTTTAGATACGATTCACAGATTGTCCCCCTGGAGAAAGGAAAAATGGAGACAATTGATTTCCTGCTAGAGCGAAAATATATTTTTGTTAATCTCCCTTTCCCTATCTCTCAAAATACTTGAATAATGACATAGATAAGTTGCAAATATTAGAATACGCCGATATTCATATTAAATACAAGCTTATCTAGATTACTCGAAAGACACAAATCGTTACGAAAGAAATATGTCATTGATAAAAAAAAACCCGAAGTAAACCATGTTTTAAAATTCATATAAAAATTTTAGAGAAAATTTAATAATATGCATGTCATCTTGTAAAGTGACCTGATAATAAGTGAAACGCTGCACTTTGGACGATCGATAATTCGCATTAGACTTCAGGGGATCGATCATGTATCTTTTCCCCTAGGACGGAACGTGAAAAGTGAAAAGTGAAAAGTTTATCTCTTTCTATTCAATACCAATAGAAAGAAATAGTTACATGAAATTTTTCACTTTTCACGTTTCCGCTCTAGGGAAAAAGTTACATGATCGCTACCCAGGATAGAACTCAACAATTTTGTGTATTGCGCGGTATTTTGATGTATAATATTTCATTTCTTCAAATGTTACTCGTGTTACACAGCGCACAAGATTATATAAAATGGATTATTATCTTTAATTCTGACACAAATTGTAGATCGTCTAAAGTGGGCTTTACTCCTCAAATAATTTTCGTATTACTCATAGAAAATTATAAGTAAAAATTGTATCATAATACAAGATATTCGAGAATTTTATTTGAAGAATACGAATGCACACGTATAAAATGTTTTTTTTTTCCAAAATATACACAAACGTCAAAATACAATAAAATATAAAATATTACAATAAAATTACAAATACAATTTTATTTTGAAACCTGATGCGAATTATAGGTCGTCTGAGGCGGGCTTAACTGTACATTTGCAAAACTAGAATTGCGGATGCATCTTGAGGTAGAATGAAGTACCGGGTTCTTGACCTCTCTCGCTCCATTCTCCCTCGCTCGTACATCGTATATACGAGGGCTCTTTTAAATTAATCGTTTACGCGCGTCCCGGTTTTGTGCCGAGCCTCTCGTCTTTCTCGTTAATACCGTAATCACGAGTAATCATATTTGACGCGCGAATAAACGGATTCTCAACCTAGTGATTTTAATTATCTCGACGAAAACGACTTTTAAAGTTCTTTTGACATAAAATACGCCGGTCAAAATGAAGCAAAACTGACGCGATCAATCTATAAATACAATTGAAGCATGAACAAATAACTAATGCTAACTGAACACGAGCTAAATTTACGCGATTGTCATTAAGTTTGTCGACGTAACGATTCAAGCACATGAATAATCAAATGCATTTTTCATGAAAGAAAGTAGTCTCATACGTTTGCACTTTCACTATTTACGCCGTCCTTATCATTTATATTTGTCGTAAATGTCCGATAGTCTGATAATGTTAACTACGATGTCGTAGCAGGGGATATCGTTAAGAGTATCCTTCGATATAGCTAAAAATAGAACGTAAGAACTTATTGATCAAGCCTGATCCTCACATATCTTTTATTTAGATCTTTCCTATAACATTTCATCTAGTCGCTTAAAAATTTTATTGTTTAAGGAAGTTGGTTGCTCAAATCAATATGATAAAAATTTAATAATATGATAAAAATTTAATAATATGAGTTTAAATTTATGAAGGATATTCGTCTATGGGAAT